GAACGCGGATTATCATTCCAACAACCCTAAAAACAAGCGTTGTGAAGCTGGCCCACGAAGGCCACCAAGGAATATCCAAAACTAAAGCTTTGTTACGCCAATACGCCTGGTTCCCTAATATGGACAAGGCCGTCAAGGATGAAATTGAAGCCTGTCTACCATGTCAAATAAATGGATCAACCAGCCCACCAGAACCATTAGCAAGTCCAGAAATGCCAGAGGGTCCTTGGCAAACCATCCATGCTGACTTCTATGGTCCGCTCCCTACTGGACAATATATCATCGTGCTGATAGATAAGTATTCGCGATACCCAGAAGCCGAAATAATCTCAAGTACCTCCGCCAAAGCACTGATCCCTAAAATAGATGCTATTTTTGCACGGCATGGAATCCCATTAAAGTTCAAATCTGACAACGGTCCACCGTTCAACAGTAAGGAATTCTCCAAATATCTACATAAACTTGGGGTGAAGCACGAGACATCAATCCCGGAGTGGCCGCAAGGAAACTCAGAGGCCGAGGCATTCATGAAGCCTTTAGCTAAAGCGATCAAAACAGCCCGTGCGGAACATCGCAATTGGACACAAGAACTTTCAAGATTCTTACTCAGCTATCGCACTACGCCTCATTGTTCAACCAATGTCCCACCAGCTCAACTACTATTTAACCGACCATTGAGAGGTATCCTACCAATGCTAAACCCCAAGGACAAAGTGCTAAATAGACATAAAGAGGCGCAGGCGAATGATTTTGAAGCGAAATCGAAAGGAAGAGAATTGGCAAACAAAAGAAGAAGAACTAAAGAATCAGATATCAGGGTGGGAGACAAAGTCCTCTTAAAACAAAGGAAGAAAGATAAATTCACAACAAAATTTGAGCAAACACCATACACAGTGATTTATCGTAGAGGAGCTAAAGTAGTCGCTGAGAACCATAACCATCAAATAACCAGAAACACATCGTTCTTTAAAAAGATAAGAGACAAGTCGAGAGAATCAACTGATGAAGATGAATACAACATCCACGAACAGCCGTACAGACACAACCAATGCGTACCAGAATGTGAAGAACCAGAACACATCATAGAATCAGAACTAGAAGAGCCAGCTCCAAGGAGATTAACCCGACAAAGAAAAATAACAGAAGAATATGGGAACTCAATAAACCCTGACTTTGTTATCCGTTAAGTTGAGGAGGGATGTAGTGTTGTAGACACGCCCCTTAAAATTGACAATGACATGTATATATATAGGAATGAGAAATGTTGTTGACATACAGATATTAGAGAGCACAATAGATAGATACTAAAGGAAGAAGATAAATTCTAAACATTACACAACTTGGTTATTGACCATCTTTTATGTTATCATAACAGTGTGTTCTAGACATTGGCAGTAGAAGATGTTTTGTTTTGTGTGGGGGCTGAATAACAAGAAAAGTCTTGGTAGGGGGTGTCATTCTTATCCCCTGAGCAAAATTTTAGTAAGAGATTCAGGAAAATTAAATACTGTCCATTAAATACTTCATTCTCTATGAGAAAGACAGTATGAGAGAATCTAATATGTATTCCCCCGGTCAAACAAGGACTTGTTTTGGGAAGAATATTGAAAAGCTCTTTGTTACAATGGAATATTTGTTGGGAGGGAGGGGGCTTAGCACCCCCATTTTAATTATTGGTGAGCAGCCCCTTAGCCCTACATTCTTCTGCCCTTGGTTCTAATCAAAAAGTACACAACAATTTAAATAAAACCTCTACATTTCTGCAAAAGTTTTCCAATTGAAAAGCAAAAAAGTGCTTGGATAAAGACTTGATTTCAAATATATCTTCTTATTTAACAAGTGTGGACATCACACTAGCGTTAAAATATGCTCATTCTTTTTTGTTCAATACAATTGTAATGTATCTAGGCTATATTGCTAAGACTTCGTTTATATAAGTCAATTTGTCATCGATCTAACGATATTTTTCTCAACTTCAATCTTTATGAATGTGAAGTCAAAAAAGGATTTAAGCCATTGGTTAAGCCATTGGAATCTCTTCCATTTTTCTTTCCTTGAATAATTTAATTTCTGCTTCTGACTGCGACATTTTTGTCGATATGTTCTGATTTTGTTCATAATTTTCCAAATCCTAGAATCATAAAAAAATAATTATTTTTTTAAGCATTTAAGAAGTAAATGATGTTTACTGTGTCTGCGTTGGCTCATTTAAATTTAGGAGACGTTTTGGAGAACGCGAGAGGAGATCAGTGCAAGGTTTGCATGAGACAATGGAAACACAAAAACGACATCTTCTACTTCTTTTACAAAATAGCAAAAATACGAAACAGATAATTTAAAACAAATGTTTTTATTTTTCCTTTAACATTTATTCGATTAATTATTTAATTAATTTGTTTGATCAATTTAATATTGGTTTGCCCAGGTCATTGCAAACTCAGCTATGCACCAATCAGCGCAAGCGTTTCATTGTGTTTCTTTCATTAATGATATTTAAAGTTGCGTCTACCATGGGGAAAACACAAGTTGTTTCCCCTAAATCATCTTGCCATCTCTCGTCCTACAAAGCAACCATTTTTTGCATTCCAAAAATGATCTTCGTGGTAGTTAGGTACTAAACATGCAAACTGAAGTAATTTGCCAAATTGATGACATTACCCACACTTAAAAAGCGTCTGGATACGGGCGGCCACCCGATTGAGGCAACAGATCTAACACAGGCCCCAATCGAATAAGATCGTTACCATAAATATCTGTACTTATAGCACTAACAAAACTCGATAAGACAAACATCTTTACATTTCACCCCCGAATTTTTCGCCTTCCTCCAAGAGACATAGTTGGTGAATACTTCTACGATAGGTTGCATTTATGGTTCGTAACGTTACTCGTCGTACTATTCTATTTTCATCTGGGTTCACCTCTGTCACTATAGCCATCGGCCAACGTCCTAGTGAATAATCTTTATCTACCATGAGGACGAGATCATTGAGTTTTAAGTTACCTACTTGCTTCAGTCACCTCCGTCTTATGGAGTATCGGAATGTACTCAGCAATCCAACGCTTCCAAAGTGCATTAGCTAACAGCTGTACTTGTCTCTAAAGCCGGCTGTAATGATCACCATCCACAAACACTTAAGGTGCGGCACGCGTATTGGAACACAACAGCAACAGCTTGCTAGGCTTCAAAGCATCTGACTCATCAAGGCCTGTGCCACAATAGTGAAGTAGAGGTCGATCGTGGAGAATTCTTTCTACTTCAGTTAGGAACGTTCTTAAAGTGCCGTTGTCAATTGTCTGCTCACTGACTAACGCCGTCAGAATCTTACGGATTGATCATATCATATTGTCCCAAAACTCCACCTGTGTGACTTGCTATTGGCGGATTAAAATGCCTGGTCGTCTTCTCCTGCAACAACCACTTACAAATCTTCTTTTGTGACTCTTCACATCTTAATTTCTCAAACTCCTCTTTCAAGATTGCATTTGATCCAACAAAGTTAGTCCTGTCGTCGTTATGTATGTCTTTTGGAGAAACTCTTCGTGCTGTAAATCGAGTAAAGGAACAAAGGAACGACTCAGTATAGGGTATTTGAAACTTTAATGTGAACAGCTCTTATTTCTAAACGGATAATCGCACTGCCGTATCTTTTCAAGTGACTACTACCCTGCTTCACCACCAACGGAACAAAATAATCGACTCCCGTCGCTGAAAATGTGTACTCAGAATCCACGAGACGTGCTCGAGGAAGATCTTCTATCAAGATTAATGTGTGCGGCAATGGAAACTTAAGAAGACAATCCAACGAATGCTCAAACTGCCTTTGATTATCCTAAATTTTTTTGAACTGCAGCGAGAACAACTCGAACCCCCATGTGCCTGTTTTTCTCATGGACATGTTTGATAGTGCAGTCCACAATACGATATTTCTTTGAAGCGATGATAGGGTAAACTTTGCGTTGAAGTGAAGATCCGACTCTTCTGATCTACCACCAACTCTCAAGAAGCCATCATTTCCTTTGAAGAGCAGCAACGCGATTAAGATAACTCTAGACGAACATTGGAAATTCTTCACTTCCTGTGGAAAATACTGTGGTTGGACATGTCGCAAGAGGATTACTTTAGCCTAATCCATTTCTACGACAGTAAGACGTGTAGCTCCGGCCCCATTAACTAAA